TAATACATAAGAGGGATACGATCACCATGTATAATACATAAGGGGGGATATGAATCTCCATGTATAATACATAAGAGGGATATGATCACCCATGTATAATACATAAGGGGTGATATGATCTCCATGTATAATACATAAGGAGGGATATGATCTCCATGTATAATACATAAGAGGAATATGATCTCCATGTATAATACATAAGGGGGGGATATGATCTCCATGTATAATACATAAGGGGGGATATGATCTCCATGTATAATACATAAGAGGGATATGATCACCATGTAAATAACATAAAGGGGATATGATCTCCATGTATAATACAAAGGGGGGATATGATCTCCATGTATAATACATAAGGGGGATATGATCTCCATGTATAATACATAAGGGGGATATGATCTCCATGTATAATACATAAGGGGGGATATGATCCCCATGTATAATACATAAGGGGGGGATATGATCTCCATGTATAATACATAAGGGGGATATGATCACCATGTATAATACATAAGGGGGATATGAATCTCTATGTATAATACATAAGGGGGGATATGATCTCCATGTATAATACATAAGGGGGGATATGATCTCCATGTATAATACATAAGGGGGATATGATCTCCATGTATAATACATAAGGGGGGATATGATCACCATGTATAATACATAAGGGGGGATATGATCTCCATGTATAATACATAAGGGGGGATATGATCTCCATGTATAATACATAAGGGGGGATATGATCTCCATGTATAATACATAAGGGGGGGATATGATCTTCATGTATAATACATAAGGGGGGATATGATCTCCATGTATAATACATAAGGGGGGATATGATCTCCATGTATAATACATAAGGGGGGGTATGATCTCCATGTATAAATACATCAGTGGTTCATATAGTGAACTCGGTGTAGTTATTCCCCCTGAGGTCATCACAGAGGACAAGGGGGCGCTCTTTACATCTGGAGGGAAAAAAATGTAATCTCCAAACACGGAAAGGTTTCTTCACAGTAAGAGCTGTGAGAATGTGAAATAGACTCCCTCAAGAGTTGGTTGTGGCCAGCTCAGTGGATTGCTGTAGGAAAGTCCTGGATTCTTTCTTGGATACACAGAATATAACTGGATATAACATTTATAGGTAAAGTTGATCCAGGGAATATCCGATTGCCTCTCGAGAGATCAGGAAGGAATTTTTTTCCCTGCAGGAGCAAATTGGATCATGCTTTGCTGGGTTTTTTTCCTTCCTCTGGATCAACTGTGAGTATAGGATAACTTTTTTTTTTGGTTGTACTGGATGGACTTTTGTCTTTTTTTTCAGCCAGACTAACTATGTAACGTGCATTAATGAGATTGTTTAGTTCTACTTTGAGTTCCAGCAGCTCCTTAATGGTGGGTTACAACCCAGTTTTTCTTCCATCCCATCATCCATTGGACAACTAGTAGATGCAGCCAAGTCAGAAATAATGGTTAGGAGAGAAGATTAACCCTAAAGGTCAGTCTACAGTTAGTTGATGAGACAATGGCACTACAGTCACGTATGGAATGGAGACAAGGAACGTTGCAGCTTTGTTTTTTACCCTACCTTCCTCTTGGATCTTGTGAGCCTACACGGAGGTCTGGTTTAAGCTCCCAAACACATGTCCTTTAACCAGATAAACAGGTTCAGAAGAAGGTTCTAACCCCACCATTATTCCCATACAAACAACATCTGGACTCACACATAGGCATTTGATGTACTCCAAATGTAGACTGATCTTCCAATCAACAGTACTGAAATGTAAAAGGGCTTTGGTTGACAGCTCAAGGGCTTGAAGAGGTCTCTAGGGGGCTCTTTGTGTGACATCCATGACGTACAGGAAAAATACAGGAGCACTGGACTCAAAGTTACGAGACCTAAAGAGTTTTTTACGTCCAGGGGTGGACTGACCATTTGGAAACTCGGGCACTGCCCGAGGGCCCGTGGTCAGTAGGGGGCCCCATGAGATGCCCCTGGTACCTTTTTCATAGGCTTTTTTGAGTATGGGCAAGGACTTAGGGGCCCCATGATCCCCTATTGCCCGGGGGCCCCATGAGTTGTCAGTCCGCCCCTGTTTACGTCATCTTTAAAATGGCAAATCAACACTTGCTAAACATTTCAACAGGCTTCATAAGCGCTATGGTTATGGAAAATAAAATGATTTTATTACTTTAATTTCACATTTTATTCTGAACCCCCAAATTACATGATAAACATCATTCTTTTTCTTCCACCCCTTTGTATTATCAGGTACTTTCAAACTTTAGTCCAAATAACATTTTATATGGATGCATTTTGTTTTCATTCTGGACATTTATATTGAGTTTTGTCATTGCATTTTCCCACAAAAACATAGCAGGTTACATATATTCATAGTAACAATGTATCATATCCATTTATAACACATTACGTTGGGATCTCACACTATTCCTCCCATGTCCTTCTATTTTAATGGCCTTCAAACTGTGGCCCGTGGGCCGGATACAGTCCTGTGCTTGCCTTTTTCTGGGGAACTATTTCTCCCAGTGACACGAGGCGCTATAACCCCCCCAATTGACACCAAAAGTGGGGCATAATTGCTCCCTCTGACAACCAAAGGGTTATTTTATTCCTCCAACCAGTGATGGGACACCATTCCTCCCATTGACACCAGTGATGGAGCACTATCCCTTCCACTGAGACCAGTGATGGGGCACTATCCCTTCCACTGACACCAGTGATGGAGCCCTATTTCTTCCACTGACACCAATGACAGGATACTATTTTTTTATACGGACACCATTAATAGGGCACTATTCCTTCCACCAACACCAGTGATGGGGAACTATTCCTCCCGCTGACACCAAAGATGGGGCACTATTCTATTTCTCCCACTGACACCAGTAATGGAGTACTATTCCTCCCCCTAACACCAGTGATGGAGCACTATTCCTTTCAGTGACACCAATGATGGGGCGCTATTTTTTATACTGACACCATTGATAGGGCACTATTCCTTCCACCAACACCAGTGATGGTGAACTATTCCTCCCACTGACACCAGCGATGGGGCACTATTCTATTCCTCTTACTGACACCATTGATGAAGCACTATTCCTCCCACTGACACCATTAATGAAGCACTATTCCTCCCACTAACACCATTGATGAAGCACTATTCCTCCCACTAACACCAATGATGGGGCACTATTCCTCCCACTGACACCATTGATGAAGCACTATTCCTCCCACTGACACCAATGATGGGGCACTATTCCTCCCACTAACACCATTGATAAAGCACTATTCCTCCCACTAACACCAGTGATGGGGCACTATTCCTTTCAGTGACACCAATGATGGGGCACTATTTTTTATACTGACACCATTGATAGGGCACTATTCCTTCCACCAACACCAGTGAGGAGGAACTATTCCGCCCACTGACACCAGCGATGGGGCACTATTCTATTCCTTCCACTGACACCAGTGATGGAGCACTATTCTAACCACTGACATAAAAAATTGAGCTCTATTCCTCTCACTGACACCAACAATAGGGGCAGTATTCCACCCACTGACACAAACAATGGGGCATTCTTCCTCTCACTGACACCAACGATGGGGTACTCTTCCTCCCTCTACTGACCACAGGGGTGCTATGTATTTTTTTTACTCTCACTGACTGCCAAGCCAGAGGCATTGTCTCCTACCAGTGGACACAGTCCAGCCCCCCTAAAATCTGAAGGACCATAAACCGGCCCTTTGTTTAGAAAGTTTCGAGACCCCTGTTCTATATGGATGTATTTTTCAGTTGCATTTTTAAAGCATTTTATAGTTTTTTTTATTATTAATTCAATATTTATTCATGCATTTATACCTGATATGGGGGTCCTGCTAGAACTTCCAACAAGCGTAGGCTTGTCCTTTTGATATTTTTATGGTTTAATAAACTCTTCATTATTTGTTCTGGCACTTCTGTTTATTCTGTACTTCTTGGATCTATTCCGCAAACTCACTTGACTGCTATTAGGATAACAATGTAACAATTTGTATGCTTCTGGACTTACCCGAATCCAGGGTGACATGCAGGGGGCTGTCATAGGCCTGCAGGAATTGGTCTGGTGTGAGGAGCTCTCTACTGTGCAGGAGGTGCAGGATGGAGGTCTGGGGGATGGTCAGCTCCGGCGATTTCTCAAACAGGGAATTGGGAATGGTTTTGGAACCCTGGCGGGTGATGACACAATCAAGAGTCAAAGTTCTGTAAACTTTCTGGTTGGGAGAACCCAATGAAAAAGCAAAATAATTACTACAAAGAAGCATCAGCGTGTTCTTCTCCAAGTACTCCTTCTAATAGTTATATTATATATAATATTGTCCAGCTTTCTAAGGAACTTGGCCATAATTTTTTAAAGTTGGGCTGACTTTATTTGAGTAGATTCATTAGATGCAATTGGTCATGCAACAAGCCACATGTAATTGGACCTTGAGCACTGTTCTATGAACGAGCAAGGGGACAAGGAGCCTCAGAAATCCTCAGCAAAAAGTCAAGGATGCCTTTAAGGATCAACAACTTGACTCTAATTTGACAGTTGCAGAAAGTCATGGATGCCTTCAGAGTGAACTGAAAAAAAAAGCCATGAAGAGATATTTCCAAGTCATGACCTCACTGAGCCACACTTCTGTGTCACTATTAACCCATCAGTGTAAAGTCGACAAGGGAAGTAGACGCCGCTCAAAACTAACCCACATGGAATGGTGGAAAGTGTCTGTATTGGCCTCAGCCCTCGCTCCAGCTAAGCCCTCCAGCATGTTTTGGCTTGGTCAGCCTTTGTGATCAAGCCCCCGATGGGCAGGGCGAAAGGCATCAGAGGGCATGACCGGAGCGAGGGCTGAGGCCAATGCAGACGCCTTCCACCTTTCCATGTGTGTCGGTTTGATCAGCTTCTACATCCCTTAATGACTTTACACACCTGGATAGTGTCAGGATGGCTTCCCCTGCTCTCAGCACATCGGCAGGGTTATTTCACATTTCCCGACTTGGGAGCGGCACTGCAAGCCTTCCATGTCACTACTAACCCACCAATTATCACCAAACCCTCCCCCCCATCCATAATCAATAGCCCCTTCCCTTCACTGACCTTGGGGTATTTGGTCAGCTGCTTTCCAATCTTGAGTATCTTGGTCAGGCACTCGGTGATGATGCCATCTGTAGCCTCCTCACTGTACTTATCCCCCAAGTAGTGACCAGGAACATCCAGGACTTTGTAGCTCCACTGGCTGAACAGTCGGTTGGGGATGTTATGGGACAAAACCAAAATCTTGGGGTTCAGCACTAGAGCCCTGCAAAGTAGGACACGCATATTTCAACCAGTATTAAAAATTGAAATTGGCCTTCATTTCAGTTGAAGGTCACATCCAACACGAAATGAGCAAACTGAACCCTTCCACTGTCTAGAAAATACATTTAGCATGGCCAAAGGTCCAACCCCTCATCAAGATGTGATGTTGATGCTTATAAGCCAATGTTCTGATGAACCTGAAACCACAACATCCAATCAAATAGCTTCTGGATGCCAAATTTCCACCCCAATTGTGTTTTTAGGGTAACTTTTTCTGAAACAAATATTCTGAATATTGTTTTAGAGAAAATCGATTTGAAAAAGAAACTTCATCAAACAGTACACTTATCTAGAGTCTATAGGGAATATCAAAATGGAGCAGGATTAATTTTACAGTTTAATTAATATATTTGCAAAACTTTGAACATAAGCCCTAAACAGATGTATTTATGAGCTAAAATAAAAACGCTGAAATGAAACAAAATGACCTAATCAATGTATATAGAATTTGAAGGATATTTAGCAACCTACAGCAGCCAACCAGAATCCATCTTCCATTGTCTTGACTTCTCTAAACTGATGAATTCAAATTGGTTGACAGACTAGCTTTTGTATATTGCTGTTGCATAATATTAAACTTGTTCGAAAAAGGTGATCTCACAAATTATAGAAATGTAAATTCAGTAAAATGGGAGAAAAATTATATATATATTATATATATATATATATATATATATATATATATATATATACAGTGCTCAAAAGAATTAAAGGAAGACTTTGTAATCAGAGTCTAGCATCAAGTCAATGAAACTCCTGGAATATTGATCTGGTCAGGTAAGTAGCAGAGGGGGTTGTTCATTGGTTTCAGCTGCTTTGGTGTTAATGAAATTAACAACAGGTGCACTAGATGGGCAATAATGAGACGACTCCTAAAACAGGAATGGTTTTACAGGTGGAGGACTCTGACATTTTTTCCCCTACTCATCTTTTCTGACTGTTTTTCACTCCTTTTGCATTTGGCTGGGGTCAGTGTCACTACCGGTAGCATGAGGCCATACCTGGACCCTACAGAGGTTGCACAGGCAGTCCAACTCCTCCAGGATGGCACATCAATACCTGCCATCGCCAGAAGGTTTGCTGAGTCTCCCAGAACAGTCTCAAGAGCATGGAGGAGATTCCAGGAGACAGGCAGTTCCTCTAGGAGAGCTGGACAGGGCCGTAAAAGGTCCTTAACCCATCAGCAGGACCGGTATCTGCTCCTTTGTGCGAGGAGGAACAGGATGAGCACTGCCAGAGCCCTACAAAATGACCTCCAGCAGGCCACTGGTGTGAATGTCTCTGACCAAACAATCAGAAACAGACTTCATGAGGGTGGCCTGAGGACCCGATTTCCTCTAGTGGGCCCTGTGCTCACTACCCGGCACCACAGAGCTCAATTGGCATTTGCCATTGAACACCAGAATTGGCAGGTCCACTACTGGCACCCTGTGCTTTTCACAGATGAGAGCAGGTTCCCCCTGAGCACATGTGACAGACGTGAAAGGGTCTGGAGAAGTCGTGGAGAACATTCTGTTGCCTGTAACATCGTCCAGCATGACCGTTTTGGTGGTGGGTCAGTGATGGTCTGGGGAGTCATATCCATGGAGGGACGCACAGACCTCTACAGGCTAGACAATGGCACCCTGACTGTCATTATGTATGAGGATGAAATCCTTGGACCCATTGTCAGACCCTACGCTGGTGCAGTGGGTCCTGGGTTCCTCCTGGTGCAGTGGGTCCTGGGTTCCTCCTGGTGCACAAAAATGCCCGGCCTCATGTGGGGAGAGTATGCAGGCAGTTCCTGGAGGATGAAGGAATTGATACCATTGAATGGCCCCCACGCTCGTCTCACCTAAGCCCAATAGAACCCCTCTGGGATGTCATGTTTTTGGTCCACCCGATGCCACCAGGTTGCACCTCAGACTGTCCAGGAGCTCAGTGATGCCCTGGTCCAGATCTGGGAGGAAATCTCCCAGGACACCACCCGTGGTCTCATTAGGAGCCTCCCCCGACGTTGTCAGGCATGCATACAAGCACGTGGGGGCCATACAGACTACTGAGGACCATTCTGAGTCGCTGCAATGACATTTCAGCAAAATGGACTCGCCTGCTGCATCATTTTTCCAATTTGATTTTTGGGGTGTCTTTGAATTCAGTCCTCTGTAGGTTGATCATTTTCTTCCTAACACATCACCCCGTCCATGTCAGTATAGAGATCCAGCAGGAGATTCCTCCCCATTGAGATCTGATGTGTTTTCAGAATGTGTATACATCAGCCTTTCTCATCCAGAGGAAAAGGGAGGCATTTTCTTCAAGTCCCAAGCCCTCTGCCTCCCCCTACAGGGCAGAACTGGCATTGCAGTGAGTGCGGGTATCATACTGCAGAGTGTGAGTGTGTCTCAGCACATGTGCACGCAGTACATGCACATTGGCTACTAGTGCTGCTGGTCCCTGAGTGGCCAGCAAGGATCTACGCCAAACTCCGCCAAATAAAATCTTTCAAAAGTTCTAAACCTGCCTTTGGAAAGGATTGGGGGGGGGTGGGTGGCGGGGGGGTTATTTTTTACAGGTACTTATATAGCACCATCAATTTATGCAGCGCTTTACATATATATTGTACATTCACATCAGTCCCTAACCCTCAAGGGGCGTACAATCTAAGGTCCCTAACCCTCAAGGGGCGTACAATCTAAGGTCCCTAACTCACATTCATACATACACATACTAGGGACAATATAGATAGGAGCCAATTCACCTACCAGCATGTCTTTGAAGTGTGGGAGGAAACTCACACAGGCACAGGGAGAACATGCAAGCTCCAGGCAGGTGGTGCCATGGTTGGGATTCGAACCAACAACCCTAGTACTGCCAAGCGGAAATGCTAACCATTTAGCCAATGTGCTACCCGTAGATTATAAAAATATTGTAATTGAAAACTTGCTATTGGCATCCATTGACTATGACAAATTAGCCTGATAGCATGGGACCCAATGGTCATTTTTTGGGGGGGGGGAACATAAAGAGGAGCCTCACCCACCTTTCCCCTTGTTTCTTCATCTTGCTCAGATCCCTCAGCGCACAGTACAAGACATCTCCACCCGACTGAAATACATGAGACAAAGGACAATTTATGAACAGTTATACAGGATCACTCACTGATCAATGAGAACAATAATGTGCATTGGGTTATAACCTTCAGCAACCAATCAGAAACCCGCTCTCACCGTACTTCCATGTAGATAAAGTATGCAACCAGGTGAGGATGAATACAATTTTTATTTTGTCCAAGGAGTACACATGTACACACTAAGTCACGGGGGTCAAACTGGAGGCCCTCCAGATGTTGCCAGACTACAAGTCCCATGAGACATTGCAAGATTGACAGTTACAAGCATGACTCCCCAATGACAGAGGCATGATGGAACTTGTAGTTTTGCAACAGCTGGAGGGCCGCCAGTCTGACACCAACTACCCATCTCCAATACATGCACCATGTGAACACTAAAAACCACAACCCAAATTTTCTCTCCCTTCCTAAAGAAGTCCTCAATAAAAATAGCAGTCACAAACCAGCAGACATGGCTTCCCATGAGAGTCTGGTCTACTGGCTGGAGGCAGGATTGTTGGGTATGGACCTCCATGGTTCTTCCAGAATTGCTAAAATGAATTTCTTCATTCCAAAAAAGTCCTCAATAACTGTTGCAGTCACACACCAACAAACATGGCTTCCCATGAGAATCTGGTCTGCTGGCTGGCGGCAGAATTGTTGGGTAAGGACCTCCACAATTCATCCAGAATTGCTACAATGAATTTCTTCATTCCAAAAAAGTACTCAATAACAGTTGCAGTCACACACCAGCAGACATGGCTTCCCATGAGAATGTGGTCTGCTGGCTGGAGGCAAATAAATGCTTATTGAGAACCCCCATGGTTCTTCCAGAATTGCTACAATGAATTTCTTCATCCCTAAAATTCCTTAATAACAGTTGCAGTCACACACCAGCAGACATAGCTTCCCATGAGAGTCTAGTCTACTGGCTGGAGGCAGAAGGAACCCTTGTTGAGAACCTCCATGGTTCTTCCAGAATTGCTACAATGAATTTCTGAGCTGCTCCATCAACTTAAAGCCCAAACATATATGTTTTTTTTGGATGAAGTGGTGAGGGGTTATACCTTTCATTTTTTTGTCCCCTTTGGGGAGATTTGCCCTCTCCATTGATACCGATTTTTATTTCAACCAAAACAGCGATGAAAATCCAAAGTCTTGTGTTGCCACCAGAACAGAAAGACAGGGGAAATCTTGAAATGGCGACAGTTGTTCTGGTGACAACTATCTGGGATGGGAATATTCCCCAGTAGGACACAGATAGAAAAAGAAATGTGTTCCTTGCTCTATCCAAAAAAAACAAGGGTAAAGGTTTTGGCTTTAAATACTTTAGAACTTTTAACCTTCTTTGTGAGGAAACGGTAAGATGTTAATGTGGTTCCTTGGGGGGGGGACACGAGCAGAACTCTGCTTACCTCAAGAACATGGATGGTACAAGACGGGTAGAGAAGCAAGATGCCCGTTACTGTCTCCCCCTGATTATACTGCTGGAACTGCTGCTCCCAGAATTCTACAAGAGACCACAGGAAATGAAAACATATACTGTACATCCAATACTGCCAGGGGTGCAACTATAAATCATGGGACACCAAGACGTAACTTTGATGAGGGCCACCCGAATAACAGCATGAATAAAGAGATGGGGATCCAGGCCATACCATTGTACTAATATGGCCAAATGGTCATATTTGGATAATGCCATTGAACAACTTCAGTTATGTGGCCATATTAGTTTTTGATGTCACCAGCATCCCTATCCCTTTGTAATGTCCTTTCCTAAGACATAAGATCGACGACCTGTAAAATAATAAATATTCTGCTCCCTGGTGCAGTCAGTCCTCATCTCTACCAGTGTTCCTCGTTACCCACAGAATTGAGAATCTCATTGACAAAACTTTGATGGGGGTCACCCAACAAACAGCATAACAAAGGTAAAAAAGGCAGCCGTGATATCATTGACTGAATATGGCCACATGGCAGTATTCGGATAATGTCATTGGCCAAATATGGTCATGTGGTCATTTTAGTGCAACGATGTCACCAGCATCCCTATCCCTTTCCTGAGACATTACATCGACGACACGTAAAATAATAAATATTCAGCTCCCTGGTGCAGGCTGTCCTTGGCTCTGCCAGCACCACTCTTTATCCACAAAACTGAAAATCTCATTTTCTGAGCATGCAATTATTTTTCCAGAGTGGCGTTTCTCAGATTTTGTTTCCACCAATGTTCACATGCTCATCATAGATGACCCAATGAATATCAGCGGGCCCTCAAGCTGTGCCAGCAATGCTGGGTCGGGATGAGCTAAACTACGAATTTTCATTTCCCTAAAATTTCAAGGAAAATTAAATCTTGGCAAAATATTTTTGAGGCAATGGGGAAGGTGAAATCAATGTGTTTTTTTAGGGTTCAATGGATTTAGTGGAATGGATTAGATTTTGTTTCCACCAACGTTCACATGCTCATCATAGATGGCTCAATGAATATCAGCGGGCCCTCAAATTGTGCCAGTAATGCTGGGTCTGGATGAGCTAAATTAGGAAATTTTATTTTTCTAAACTTTCGGTGAAATTAAATGTTTGCAAAATACTTTGGAGACAATGGGGAAGGTGAAATCAATGTGTTTTTTTAAGGTGCAATGGATTAGATTTTGTTTCCACCAAAGCTCACCATAGATGACTCAATGAATATCAGCGGGCCCTCAACCTGTGCCAGCAATGCTGGGTCGGGATGAGCTAAATGAGGAATTTTAGGACCTTAATTTTGAGTTAAAAAAATTATCAAATATTTAAGCAACAGTGCACAGTAATAATAAAATTCACAAAAGAGTAAAACAAAAAAAAAACACTAAGAGGTCTATGAATAAATGTTTTTTTTTTTAGAAATTCACACAAATATTACCCAGGAGTTCCAACCGAATCCAAGTAGGAGAAATGTGTGAATCTTGGCTGAAACATTTTGGATGAAAAATAACCCAAGCAACGTACACCCCCCAACGAACACCCATTAAATAAAATATAACAAATAAAATATTTCACCCAAGCCCATCCATGAGCAAAATTGAGAGTTTCCACTTTTTTTTCAGCCAAATCAATTTTGCTGGAATCACTCTGTAATTAAAACTAAGAAACAGAATTTTAGAAATTGTGAGCACTTGACAATTTTTTGCAGATTTCTTGCAGACATAACATACATGTCACCACCCCCCGCCCCTCCCCATGCCCCCACCCCACCCCCCTTGTGGGCAGTGTTACAGATCCAGAAGGAAAAAAATCCACACTCACCTCCAAGGTCTCTCTTATCTGCCAGATCCGGGGAGATCATAGACACAAAAATTAGCCGGTGAAGAATTGATTTCTAAAAGAAAAGTAAGCAACATTGTAACCCTCGATGTCTGGGGCAATTTTTTGTTTTTAATTTTTCGCACAGACATATTAAAATATTGCTAGAAAATGGCTCAGAAACAAACAGAAACAAAATCTCACTCACCGCATCATCCCTCGAATTCAAGACCATCCGCTTGTTGAGCAGCTGTTGAAAATAGCTACTTATTCCTTTTTCTGGAGTGGCTTCCGGCTTCCATGATTGTTCTCGAGATTTCACCGACATTATTAAATGGCGCACAAAAACCCTGTTTTAGTTTGTAAAAAAAAATTAAAAATCTGCTCTTCTAAAAATTGAAAAATAGTTTACAGACTTGGGTTTGGTTTAAAAAAATTGTCAAATTTAAAATAAGTTCAATTGAAAAAATAAAAAAATATATTACATATATATATATATATTTTTTTTTTTAATTTAAAAATAAAAACAAATACACTTTCCAGAAAAAAAAGTATGCAATATATTTTACATTTAAAAGGAAAAAAATACACTTTCCTAAAGATTGTATTATAGATTACAGACTTGGGTTTGTTAAAAAAGAAAATTGGTTCAAAGTTAAAATGTTACAAATAAAAATATTTCTCCAAAATTTCAAAATGAAAAAAAAAAAAAAAAAACAAACACTTTCCTAACTTTCAAAACTTTTCAGACTTGGTTTAATTAAAAACAATATTGGATAAAAAATAAGTTAAGTTTTTAATTAAAAAAAAAAAAAACACTTTCCTATAGAATGTAAAATTGTTTACAAATGTGGGTTAATTGAAAAAAAATTAAATGTGAAAATTTTTTTAAAAAAGTTCCATATAAAAGAATAAGCAATGTAAAGCGATAAAAAAAAGTTACATATAAAAGAATATGTAATGTAAAGGGATAAAAAAAAAAGTTACATATAAATGAATATGTAACGTAAAGGGATAAAAAAAAAAGTTACATATAAATGAAAATGTAATGCAAAGGGATAAAAAAAAGTTACATATAATATGTAAAAGGTAAAAAAAAATACACTTTCCTAAAGAAAGTAAAACTGTTTACAGACCTGGGTTAATTAAAAAAAAAATTGTTAAATGTGAAAAAAAAAAAAAAGAGAAAAAATGTTACATATAAACGAATATGTAATGTAAAGATATACAAAAAGTTACATCTAAAAATATTATGTAAAAGTTTAAAAGTTACATATAAGATAATATGCAAAAGGTTAAAAAAAAAGTTAAATGTAACAGAATAATAATTCCGAGAGAAAGTAGAAGCCCTTAGAAAACCTGTGTATTTACTATTGTGGTATCCAGGGAACAAGCCGGCCCCTGACTCGGACTGTGTCCTGCTCTCCTTTGTCTGATTTGTTGGTATTTTCTATCACCGCGCTGCCTTCCTCCAGTTGCTGAGTAACCACTTAAATACACTAATTATTGCATTCTAGTACGGTACGGGGAGCGCAGCCGCTCTTTGTGGTGTTTAATTCCCTCTTCATTGAAACCGGTTTGTTTCAAGGTTACTATCCTACAAATCAGAAAAAATATAAAAGGGACACTTTGGGGATTATTTACGAAAACTGGAGAGTGCAAAATCTGGTGCAGCTCTGCGCAGAAACCAATCAGCTTCCAGGTTTTATTGTCTGCGCTTAATGGAACAAACTGCATTTAGAAGCTGATTGGTTACTATGCACAGCTGCACAAGTTTTAATGAATCTCTGCATTCACTATATCCGCTCTCCCCGGACCCCGCATTCACTATATCCGGTCTCCCCGGACCCCGCATTCACTATATCCGCTCTCCCCGGACCCCTCATTCACTATATCCGCTCTCCCCAGACCCCGCATTCACTGTATCCGCTCTTCCCGGACCCTGCATTCACTGTATCCGCTCTCCCCGGACCCCGCATTCACTGTATCCGCTCTCCCCGGACCCCGCATTCACTGTATCCGCTCTCCCCGGACTCCGCATTCACTATATCCGCTCTCCCCCGACCCCGCATTCACTATATCCGCTTTCCCTGGCCCCCGCATTCACTATATCCGCTCTCCCCGGACCCCGCATTCACTATATCAGCTCTCCCCGGACCCCACATTCACTATATCCGCTCTCCCCGGGACCCCGCATTCGCTATATCCGCTCTCCCCGGACCCCGCATTCGCTATATCCGCTCTCTCCGGACCCCGCATTCGCTATATCCGCTCTCCCCCGGACCCCGCATTCGCTATATCCGCTCTCCCCCAACCCCGCATTCACTGTATCCGCTCTTCCCGGACCCCGCATTCACTATATCCGCTTTCCCTGGCCCCCGTATTCACTATATCCGCTCTCCCCGGACCCCGCATTCACTATATCAGCTCTCCCCGGACCCCGCATTCGCTATATCCGCTCTCCCCGGACCCCGCATTCGCTATATCCGCTCTCCCCGGACCCCGCATTCGCTATATCCGCTCTCTCCGGACCCCGCATTCGCTATATCCGCTCTCTCCGGACCCCGCATTCGCTATATCCGCTCTCTCCGGACCCCGCATTCGCTATATCCGCTCTCCCCCGGACCCCGCATTCACTATATCCGCTCTCCCCGGACCCCGCATTCGCTATATCCGCTCTCCCCGGACCCCGCATTCACTATATCCGCTCTCCCCGGACCCCGCATTCACTATATCCGGTCTCCTCGGACCCCGCATTCACTATATCCGGTCTCCCCGGACCCTGCATTCACTTTTTCCGCTCTCCCCTGACCCCGCATTCACTATATCGGGTCTCCCACAGTACACAGAACATGGAAATGCAATTATTTTAGTAAATAGAAACTGCTAAATACCTTTTCTCATCAGCAGTATATAGCAATTTTGTGAATTCTATCCGTGTCCAGCAGAGCACTGGTTAAAGCTTGCAGGAGGAGTTTTCTTTAAGAGAATGCAGAACCCCTGACCTTTCTGGACAGTGCTGATTACATGCACCCTTGCAAAGAAAAAAAACCTCTAGCAATACACACCAAACTGAGCATGTGCAGCTTGCCCACAAGGCTCTGTTCTATCAGCACAGCAGATGGATTGGGGACAGTAGAATTAGGGGAGGATCAGAGAAGACAGGATCAAACAGCCTTTTTTACACAATGCAGAGGATTTACCCCTTAGGTTCCACAGTGAGTATAACAAGCATGCTTTACTGCATCTACAGACTGATTTCACTGTTGTGGGTTTAGTGACACACGAACTGAAGATAGAAGCTGATTGGCTCCCATTCACAGCTCCACCAGATTTTACACTCTCCAGTTTTAGTAAATCAACCCCCAACGAGTCTGTAAAAAAAATAAAAAGGCTGCAGGAGATCTGCGGCACTGAGAAGTACAAAGAAAACACAAAAATTGTCAAAAACAAGGATTTTAGTAGAAAATAAACCTTGGCAATTGTCTAGGATACAAAGCGTCTGAGGGAACAAAAAGGTCCTTCAGATCCGATTCATGGCTACTTAAAGGGAACCAGCGCTGAAGGAAATTCTTAGGACGATCGTTGCCGATCTTCTTGCTAACTGCCTGGATGCCGTACGGGTTCTCCGGTTTCTATGGCGAGACACAACAGGCAAGTCCACAACCCCGACCAGAATGGGTGTCTGGAAGTCTTCCCACCATGGATAGGTCAGAAGGTTGAAGGAGAAGGTTGATTTGAAAGGGTTGGTCCATCAAAAATAAGATTTGTCAGGCTAGTTCTTGGCATCATTTTCTCTTCCTAAAGGGGGAAAAAGTGGAATTTTTGGAGCAATTTAGGGAGAAACGGTTCAAAATTTTGATGGGTGTTATCAACCTTTCTTGGTGATGAGGCCGGAAGCTCTTCCATCCCCCCCCCAAAAAAAAATCGGAAAGATGGCCATAACATGTCCAGGGAGGTCTTGTGGTCTAGCTGTCTTCTTGGTGATCTGTCCAACCCATTGTTGCCTATCACAATCAATCAACTCTTTTATTTTCATTCTCTAAAGATAAAAAATGTAATCAATCAGCCAGACACAGGGCTGTCTTAATAGTATCATGGGCCCCTGGGCAAGGAAATTCATTGGGGCCCCTACCAGCCTGCCCCAATTTACACACCTACTCAGAAGAATAAAAGTATAAAATAGTTGATAGAATTAAACATAAATGTATTAGTACTTTCAATAAAATTGATTTTAAACATGAAAACGTGCCATAAATCAAAGACCAATCAACACAAAAGGCACTCTACAAGGGGGGGGGGGGGAGCTGGTGTTGGGGAATAGGCAGAAGGGCACAGTACAGGGGGAGTCAGGAGGGCACAGTGCAGGGGGAGTCAGGAGGGCACAGTGCAGGGGGAGTCAGGAGGGCACAGTACTGGGATGTCAGAAGGGCACAGTACTGGGATGTCAGGAGGGCACAGTGCAGGGGGAGTCAGGAGGGCACAGTACTGGGATGTTAGGAGGGCGCAGTATGGGGATCAGGAGGGCACCTTACAAGGGAGTCAGGAGGGCACAGTACAGGGGGAGTCAGGAGGGCACAGTACAGGGGGAGTCAGGAGGGCACAGTACAGGGGGAGTGTGACATAAATGTGAGTAGCTGAGAGGTGACCTGTAGAAAATATGACAATGTAATCCTAAATGTAGTTTCAGTGCTCGTCATTAAAGATGTATTCAGTCATAGGTATTCAGAGACAGATGGTCATCAATTAGCATCTGAAGGGACTAGCTTCCTCTGGAAGTGGCACCTGGGTGCTAATAAGATTTTGTCACCTATACGTAATCAGACTCTGCCATCTTCCTGAAGCTGAAAAGAGAAACGCAGGCATTTCAGCTTCATGACACCAGGGGGACTCAGAGCTGTCTACTGAGCTCTGCTGAGTATGTTTAATCCCTCATAAAAGCTAAAATATTAGTTGCAGAGAGATGAAAATACTTCCTTCTGATGGGGCACTCTGTAGGCTACATCAGCATATAAAAACTATATTTGTGGCCTATTGTAGAATGCCAGGAAAATGCAGGAAATGGTTATGTGGCGTTGGAGTGCGATAGCGGAACAGTGATTGGTACTGTCATGATCGGACTGATGCGCTGGTGTCGGAAATTTAATCCCCGACTTGGTGATTCAAGCCGGTCTTGGTCCAATTAACTTTGGGCAGTTCGGCACCCAGAACAGCCTGTGGGCGGGTACAGGAAAACCTCCCAGAGTCAATTGGCTAAGAACTCATGTCTAGCCT